GACGGTGTGGGTTGGCGTCGACCTGGGCCCCGCCGGTCGCTGTCAGACCAAGCCAGGCATCGCTGTGCATGAAGCGCTTGGCCCACACGGAAACCTCCCCTGCTACCTTCCCCACTCGGAAGGCCCGAAACGTGGTGATGTTCCGGATCTTCCGAAGGTTGAGCTTGTTGTCGTCGAGGTAGAGCCCCTTGAAGTTGCCGAGGTTGGTCAGAGTCCCTACGTGTACCGGAAGTTCCTTGTACGACTCCCGGAATAGCTCACCAAGTTGACTCCTCGTGAAGATGCTTCGACCGAGGGTACCCACGGAGAACCTGAAGGTTTGAGTGGGAGTCGTCAGGGCGAGGAGCTCGACCAGAACCACGAAGTAAGAAACACCCCAATAAGACTATGCGAGCAGGACCGCTCCACCACCATGGGAAACGAAGTTAGGTAGAGCGAGTGTGAAAATATTAAACGGCCGTTGAACTCCAGTACCCACCCCTACCCCTATATGTGGGTAAGAGTTTTTGTTGTATCGGGCACGGGTGGCTGTCTTGGATGTCAGATAAATACAGCGATACGCAAGAACCCACCGCAGGTGGCTTCATTAGACTCGAGGGCGAATGGCAGCTGCAACGTGGACGTGGGCTACCTTTTCGGGGGTTGTTTACACTATAACCCTCAATATCCCGCAAGGCCCCAAGAAATAAGAACTGCCCAAACAAGCTCAGCAACGAGGCTTGGGCTTCGGCCGACAATAAGAAACTGAGGCTCGCCCCATGTCTTACTTGCGGGCGCGTTCTATAATGTAAATCTTGGGTTTCATGGGGGGGACGATATTGAATGCTGAAAAACCGGGGGGTACGCCCAGAAAGCGATCCTCCACCGGGGGGGGGGGCAGCAGGGTGGCCAAACAAGGGGCTCCGATGTTACAAGGGTACTCACCGAGAAAACACTTGGTCGATTTTGATGTGCGTGTGTCCAACGATCAGGAAGCAGACCTCTGCAGAACCGATCACCCTGGCGGCGACCAATCCGCCAATGAAGGCCAGGACGATGTTGTTCTTGTTTTCGCCGACGCAGTTATCGAGCTGAAGGTGGAGACGCTTGATGTAGAACCTCTGGCCAGGCTTGGTCCACATTGCAGACAGTCGTTTGAGGGCCAACCACAGCGCCGTGCACACCAGGTTGCTCCCTGGAAGACCAGACAAAGACGAACACATGAAATATGAACGGACGGTTCAGGGGAATTATGGTCCCCACCAAGCCTGTATCGTTAGTGAAATAACCTACTGTTTCGTTAGTGATTCATCTGTGCACAATGGCTGGCTCAGGGACCTTGTGCGGTTCCGCCTGACACGTCTTTTTGGCACTGACAGCTAGGTTGCACATATTCACGGCTCCCTTGGAATTTCAAAGTGGCCCATCGGGTGACCAGCTGTATACTTGAGGCCTTCCTGCGACACCCGCACATGAGGTATCTGCCAGAAGGGGTGCCTTGATGCAGGTTTAAAGCCTCTCACCTCCACCTGTTGTCTGCGGGACGAAATGGACGTCCACGAACGCCCCTTCTGCCTGGACGGCCATGACCTTCTGCCGCTCCGAAAAGCCGCTGAAGTCGTGAACGCGAACGGTTGTGCAGGAAGGCGATGATAAGATTGCAGTAGTCGTCACAATAAACAAGGTCCCGTATTCCCTATCCAGTACCTCCTTCTGTCACAATCTCTCTGCCATAATCCAGCATTGTTCGCGGTCAATTCCCGTGGTCACAGGCTAACGTGCATCAAAAGAGGTATCAGCTACAAGTATACGTCGTACTAAAACATAATGAACCCGAAAGGTCAGCACAGGGATAAAATAAGATAAAAGAACAAGAAGATGAAATAAAGAGCAAGTTTGGAGCCGTCCAACCTCCTCTACACGCGGTGAGGTGAAAATAAAAGGGAAAATAACTGAAACCTGTCAACATCATCAAAGTATGTCGACATATACATCGATGGATAACAACTCACTCAACAGATGGTGAGATGTTGGCGATGGGGTGGACTATTCGGTAGACGTTTATCGACCCATTTTGATTGAGCTTACACGAATCGTGACACCGTTGCATTGGACCAAAATAACTTGTCAATGGCTGTCATTCCATCTGAACCGCAGCGTGCCACTACGAACTAAGGTACTGTTCTCGTGTCACGTACTTGTTTTGCCAAGAGACGACCGGAGTACAATCACGAGGGAACCAGATCACTTGCCTCTCAGACGCGTGAGTTTGAGGGTGGACGGTCCCTAACGCGTAGCGAATCTGGCAGGCACAGTCTTGTTGAATGGTCACTTGGTTTAGCGGGGTTCCGTTCGCCTGCTCTCGTCTGGCGGCCTCCATGCGTGACGTCAGGAGTTCTCTGTCCTTCGACACGATCTGCGTCGACGAACGTCGAGGATAAGGCACGTTCATGTAGCCGTCGTGCGGCTTTATGTTGGAAGAGTATCACAAACAATCCATTCCTACACGAACAGGGGAGAGACCACGACACAGGGTTCGCGTGACTCCGTACGATAAACTTGGATAACGTTCAGGAGCTCTTCGACCTCATGTTGGATCGCCACGGCCCCCTATGGCGGACGTGAACCAATACATATCATGTTCTAATCACATCCCAAGCGATCGCGAAAAAGCAGAATGACCGCCNCTTCGACCTCATGTTGGATCGCCACGGGCCCCTGTGGCGGACGTGAACCAAAACATATCATGTTCTAATCACATCCCAAGCGATCGCGAAAAAGGAGAATGTCCGCTACCACCGGCGGCGAGCGCGGTGAGGGCGTCTACTGGACAACGGAGGCGTCGGTGTTTCCACGCCGCGCAGGGGAGAGACGGAAGAGTCAAGAGGAGGAAAGCTAGCGTAGGCGCCAGCCTGTGCAGGCGGCCTATCATGAACGACGCCAAACACATCAACACCATGACGTTGCGAATCCCAAGGATCTAAAGACTGTGCGGGTGGTATGGAAGAAATGCAGGAATATTTAGCTTAGCCTTGGGTCATTTCGTCCGATCTACATGCTAGAGCCATCAGACAAATACGAGTAGCACGCGCACTTAGCAAGAAAAAGGTACGCATGCATATGAGGTTCACCTTAGCAAATTATCCCATGCATAGGACAAAAGACTGAACTGCACGTCCGCGAAGTGTATTAAATGACAGCAGTATCGCCCCCCCCCGCCCCCCCCCCGTCCTCTTCTTTCCTGAAAAGAATGTTTACCGAGCCCACACGCTGCAGCCTGAGTGTTGTCTGTAAAATAATATGATGGTACGTATATAGGCAATACACAACAAGGCGGGCACGCAAGCTGCCGTCTGAGGTGCTATCGGAATGCGTCCGCCGACACCCAGCAGTGACACGACGGTAAAAAAACAGGATTTACTCACGCCTTTCGTGGCTGTGTAGAGCGTGGTCCAAGGCTTGTGCGGCATCCGCTGCCCGAAAATTCCGCTGTACCAATCCACAAAAGCGAGTATGACGTCACGCNGTTGTCCTCGACGGGGGGGCCTTTCGACGCTGCGGTTGACGAACAATTGCGCGAACAGCACGGACAGGGTTGAGAAGTAGTGTAGGTGGGGGCCTACACCCGACCCGTCGGGGTTCGGACTTGAAAAACTTTCCACATACCAGCCGATTACCCCCGTACAGCTTGCTCTTGTGCTGTTTTTGGATGGGGACACGCTGAGNACTTGAAAAACTTTCCACATACCAGCCGATTACCCGCGTACAGCTTGCTCTTGTGCTGTTCTTGGATGGGGACACGCTGAGCGACGAAGTTCTTCCGTGCTGGCTCGTCAGGCCCCAAGTCGAGGAAGCGCTTTCGTTCTGCCGTGAGGAGATCGAGCCGGTAGTCGCTGTTCCCTGGGTCGGCAAACTTTGAAGCACACGAACCACGGCAGCATGCCACGTTCAGGACAGCCTCGAGGTCTTTCGCTTTGGCGTGCCGACGTTCCTTTTTGGCTGGCTGTGGAATAGGCCTGTCCTCCATCGGCCGTTTTATTTTCGATTTAGATACACAAACAAACTTTATTTCTATACTAATTTCAAGTAATTCCACCTTCTTATTCTCCATCATACAAGCAAAACACCCGATGGAGGACAGGCCTAGCTGTGGAGAATCTGCTGCAGGTTGAGCAGAGGGCAGTGAAGACACTCCTCGACCAGACTGAGGTGGACGTACGTCGATGTTGGTAGCCTCCCAAGNTTCTTTTTGGCTGGCTGTGGAGAATCTGCTGCAGGTTGAGCAGAGGGCAGTGAAGACACTCCTCGACCAGACTGAGGTGGACGTACGTCGATGTTGGTAGCCTCCCGAGCGACCGGCCCGGCGCCGAACAAGAACTCGAGCGCCCCTGGGGCGAACGACATCGTCTGGGTGACGATGGCAGCAGCCAACCACAGCCAACGCCGCATGGCTCTGCTGGCTGCAGAGGGGTGTGTTCCAACCAGGGGGACAAAAACCAACTCGGCCAGCTCGGCCATTTACGGGAGATTCCAATTTCTCCGCGTCAATTGGTTGGGTGATATTCGCGACGGACAAGATGTGGCACACTGTTGTTTAACAATAGAAGCACCCGTTCGGTCGGCGGAATTATTTACCAATACAGTCGAACTGCTCAAGGTCGACGGCGACGACGAGCCAGTTGTACTGGAGCGCCTCCGTGCCATCTTCGTCGAAGTGTGGAATGGGGGAGAGATGCCGCAGGAG